TTTTTTTTTTTTTATCTTCTATCGGTAAATTGTTTTTGCTTAGCGCCCAAACCCCCTCTAAATCGGGCCACACTTGCTCTACATAGGCATATACCTTTTTGGAATCAGAATTTTTAAAATATCCCCTTCATCTGGTGCTTGAACATCAAGCATTGGGATTTATGTCCGGATGATGAGGGAACAGTTAAATGTGTTGTCCTTTTCTTTTTAAGGATAGTTTTATGCTTATTTTCGTTTTATATACAAAAACTATTAAAATCGTATTTTAACACTTAGCTTATAAAAACAAATGTTAGGTTCCTAAAAAATATAAATATATATATATATATATATATATATATATATATATATATATATATATATATATATATATATATATATAACGATCATATTCATTGAAGTACTTTGCAACAAGATGTCGCCATTTTTTTGTCTCTTTTTCTTCTCTTCGAGAAGTGTACATACAGACATATGATCGTCTTTGACTTGTTCTTACAGCTTGATTTGGAGGCAAGTACCTCAGGGAATGACATTACCTCATGAATCCGAGTAAATAGTAACCTCATGAATTCTAATGTTGGCAATTAGTCATTTTGACTCGAATCCTGAAAATATCTTTGGAAAAAAATGTTTTGATTATCAATCGATATCGACTGATTTCCAATGAAACCTCAATTGATGGTACCTGCTTTTTTGAATATTAAAGCAATATCTAGCCTACGTATTGACTTCTCGACTTTAATTGCTGTGTCCCTTAAGGGCGTAGGTGATCTCTCTACAGATTCCTTTTCTTTTCTTTTTCTTTTTTGCCATGACTTCTTGAAGATTACATAATTTTCCATTGCCTCTTTTGCGTTTTAAAAAGCTGAGTAGTCCATCTCCAGATTGGCTGTTACACAAGGCTATAAAGACCAGTCTACCTCGCTATTTAATCCATAGCTGGAGGAGGGAGGTGATCTATGGCTTTTATCAAGGGTATAAATCCAAAGCTAAAATCACATTTCCGTCTTTGTGCCACCCGGTCTTTATCAGGTGTACGTTGATCGGGGTATCATATTTTAAGTCTTAGTGTAATTCAAATATTTCTGAAATAGGAACAAAATAGCTATATATATATATATATATATATATATATATATATATATATATATATATGTCGTATTTAGTGGATAGACGTGTTTTAGTACACACGTTCCCCTCTTTTTATTTTTTTTAAGTTTGAATGACTTCTATCGGTCCGTCCCTTCGAGAGCCTTAAAAAAATGCCCCCCTCCAGCAGGGTTCAGACATGAGTCTCCATCTCTAAAACAAATCAGTCTGTGTGTGAAAGTGTTTATATATAACTTATAATAGGATTATACTTAAGCTCAATGGTAGTCATGGATATTTGATGTTGGTTAATTTCCTAGAAACTGCCCTAAATGTTAAATATTTTTTAAAACCTGAAAATAAAGATCTTGACGGCCATTCTTAGAGTGTTATTTCATCGAAATTCGATCATCTCTACGAAAAATCATAAAATATTTTGCTAATTTCAAATCACGTCAGTTACATGAATGCCACCATTTATTTCTGGTTGGCAATAACGTATACTCACCGGCGGTCAATTAATATTATTAGATTAAATTGTAAACAGACGTGCGTGTTTGGACAGTCAGATCTTAGGAGCGGAAGAAAACTGAGCGAGTAAACAACAATGGCAAAGCAGAGACAAAAAGGGGTGGTAAATAATAAAACGTTGCTTAGAGCAACAAAGGACAGAAAGTTGGATAGTCATGATCGCCTACGTTCTGAATAGATACGGCACATAAAAGAATTCTAAATGGTAACTTGGACCAGCTTAATTTGAAGTGTCTCCCTTAGGTTGATCAATACGTAGCACTCTTGAGCCAATACAAATTTCTTGTACTTGTTTCACATGGGCGGTTCAAATTGACAGTCTGTTCTGTGTAAGAGCGTCCAAATATTAGCGCTAAATTGGATGGATAGTTTAAAAATGGAGCTAACGACTTTCCTTAATTCTTACGTGAATTAACGGGTATTTTCTCTTTCTTCAAACGTCAGTTCTTTTTTTTAATTCGGGTGAAATATATTCGCATTTCAAGTGATGACATTGTTCAAGTTCGTGATTTGATTTTTTTTTTTTTTTTTTTTTTAATCTAACTTGTTTCTTACCACAAACCTTTTTTAACATTCATAATTTCTTTCACATTGATCCACACTAAGTGCTGCATGCTTTCGGCCTTCTGCCACATCTAAGCTACAGTTAAGAAATTGTCATTTTCCTCCTGGCCCTGTCTACTCTCTGGTTCTCCTGTCTACTCTCTCTAATCTTGTCTTTGTGCGCGTCGTCTTTTCCACATGCCCATGCTTCATTCATTTGTGTTCTACACCCATAGAGCCATCGTGTGGTTTATACTGCAGATCTTAGTTACAGTTTCTGGGAGAGCGCATATTATCTAGCGTGATCAACAATCTGAATAAGGTTAGCACAATCAAACTCTCGGCCACGATGACTTTTGGCCTCGTGCTAGCGCAGCTATCGACGGTCTCCACTGGTTCCGTCTACCCAATTTCACTCACAAGGCTTGGGTCACCCCGTGGTGTGATTTTTCAGACACTTCCCAAAGGTGTCGCACGCTGGGATCACCTCTTCCAGACCAATAACTTCAGGAAGTTATGGTCAGAAAGCGAACGTTACAACCACTTGTGTGTGTGTATATATATATATATATATATATATATATATATATATATATATATATATTGTTGTCGCCACATTGTTGTTGACCTCAATGTTCACTTTTTATATTGACATAGGCTCTATTTCTGATATTGAACACTTTAACCCGTAAATATATTTTTTATTATTTCGAATGCTTATTTGAATGATGTGGCAAGATTTTTTTTTTCATTTGTTCTTTTTCTTTTAATATGTATTTTTTTATTTTACACATGCTGAAATGTTTTTCGGGACGACAACTTTTTACCACTCTCTCTCCTATATAGAATGTAATTTGAAGTTTATAATTGTATATATCTCTTAATCTATTAAGGGAGATGGCAATATTGAAATATACCTTCACTAATCTCTATCTGCTTACAACTACTGAATGGCTTAATTCGACATCCGTTAAATTGCTATAGAATGTAAAATCTTGCAATTTTAACGCCTATCATTTGTTCATAAACTGTTATCACTGTCATAACAAACCAGAATTACTTACCCTTATTAGTTTTTATTTATTTGCTGTGACTATTCGTTTGATGACTTATACTCCTCACCGCTGCAATTGGTAGGATGAGTTATTTTGAAATTACACTAAATTCTTTTGGAAATTACACATCGATCTCATGATTAATTTTAAACGATTTCAATTATTTGTTCATTTATTTTTTTTATTATTATTTTTCTTGTATGCTAACAAGTGTTTTCTCATCTCAACTTAATGCGTCGAAATTGTCCAAATGTTTATTCCGAGCGCTTAGGCTAATAACTAGTTTCAAGGATTTTAGTTCTATTAAATGGTGTGCAAATGTATTGTAATGGAATGTCCCACACTCCCTATCGCTTATGTGGACTGTCTATATCAGTAGCTATATATAGTGAGCTAGGACACCTCGAGGTGGTGTAATGGTTAGCAAGCTTGTCTCGCTAGAACAATTACCACTAAGTAGTGAGTTCGATCCTTACTTTGTTGCCCCATACTTTCGGCCTTGTGCCACATCTGAGCTACGCTTAGAAAATCACTATCCTGCCAGCATATTCCCTGTCTTTCAGTAGTGTATTATCTTTAACAATAAACCGCTCTTCTTTCATCTACGCGCGTGTTGCTATTCCTTCACTCGAATACCAACTTTGTCTGTTTGTAACCTCTTTAAGGTTACAATAAAATGCTATAAAGACTGTATAAGTTTAAATGGTGTGTAAATGCTGTAAAGTCTGTATCAAATTTGTCGGAGTTAACTCCTCCTTTAGTACATTAACCCTTTCACCAGGGGTCTCTCTTCTCTGGCTATAAATAGCCGCTGACCCATCGCGTCTCTCTCTTTTCTTTTTTTCCTTCAGGCCTGTGCGCCGACACCTTGAGGTAAATCTCTCCCTTTCATCAGGCTTTCGGCTATCAACCTCGAAATGTAGGCGCTAACAAGGGATAGCGTGGAAACACGCTAAGCACAATACACGCACACACACACGCACATACAGAATATTCACACACGCACATACAGAATATTCCCATACACTTCATCCTTTGTACTCTTTCCATGTATTGTAACTTGTTATTAATATATATTTGTATATACATATATTATCGGTCTTGTGTTTTGTTTGCTTTCTTTGCCTTCTTTGGACTTAATCAAAGTCCAACCTTTTTATGTAGTTGGGCCCGGCGAGCAGGAGTATCTGAACCTTACATGCGTTTCTTCTACGTCTGACTTCTATCAACAACATAACAGCCACGGCCCTCTACAAATTTGCTGAAAATTAAATATTTTAAATTTCCCAGTTACCAGTACATTTTGACCGTGTTCATAATGTTATTATTTTTTTTAAAATAACACCTATTATTTTCAAACGATTTTTACAGCTGGGAGCATGTTCTTGACGAGTGTGTTTTGAATGTGTCCGCATGGTCACAGAAAGTGTAGTCAGTAGTCTTGACAGTTGCATGGGGGTGTTTCCGACATAATTATGAATTTCTTTTCGTCGAGAACTCGGTTCCCTATAACGCACTTAAATATTTAAATTCATAATGTTGATCTGTTTTTTGGTGGAGGCGTGATGTTATTTTTAATAATAGTTAACCTCATCTTTTTAGTTTGTTCAATTGATTGATGCATTATTTTCTATTATATAATAGATATTATATATTATAATATTTCTTAAAAGCGAATTCGTTTTGTTTGTATTTTTTTGCACATCTGGGTTCTATAAAATATATTTATTAAAATTGGTGAAATTTTAATCTTCAATTAGAAATCCCACAATTTTGTTAAATATGAATATTTATTTTCTCTTTCACACCATCTATCTTCCCTTCATCTCTCTTGCTATCGTCGTAGTCATGTTATTAATGCACCTTCTTGGAACCAAACCAGACGCACCTGTGCCCCATCCACTTCGAGATAGTCACCCGCTTCAACACTTCGCTTTTATTTACACAGCCGGTAAACAAGGCTGGCATGTCGAAATCACTCAGATATCCAAGTTTTCAGTCATCGGTCGGCTGTTGACATCAGAGTGGGATTAAAGCCGCCTTTATCTGGATTAATTACAAGGCTAAGTCGAAACCTTTGCACAAATCTCTTCTTTCTATGGCGAAGCACGAACTTGCCTTTGAATTGGAAAGTGTTTAGTAGGGATAAAAAAACCTCTGCAGATCCTGAGACGTACCGTATTTAATTATCTGATACAAATATTAACTTATGCCCTAGATATTCTCTTTTTTAAAAATTTCTCCTTTCTTTAAAGAAATGCACCTTTCTCAAGACAATATACTTATGTATGACCATAAAAAACATTTAAAAGAAATCCAATAACTCATGGCCTTTTTAAAAAATAAATGAATTCCACAAACAAAATAATATAAAAATACATTAAAAAAAATTACTTATGAAAGAAACTTTTAACTGGCAGGGCACATTTCGGGTAAAGGTGTGGTTTCCTTGATGAAAAAGGAAATACAGGTTCGTTTTCTGTCGGGGGGGCACATTTTTCTTTTTAATGATCTAGGCCAAAAAAATGATCCACTTTGTGTTCTTCATAGTTTGCCTTGGGGTAAAATGATTAAAAAAGAAGAAAAATGAGAGAAGGTTATGTGGGTAGTGTAATGGTTATCGATACGGAAAACCTTCGGAGAAGAGTTCAAAATCCGAACTAGTCTGTAGTGTTCACTCTTGCATAAATTCCATTATAAAAGGAATTCATCGTTCTCTCTAGCAACCATAGGTTAAATAGCATGGTACATTTGGCTCTTTGTCGTCGGTGGCGCTGTCTAAGAGAAATAAAACTCTGGATTTCAAATTGTACAGAAGGTAATTACGCAGTCATCTTCCTAAGAATGCAAGACAATTCACAAATAATAAAGAATCTGTGGGGTGCCATGGTCGTCTACATCCCGAAGGGACATGCAATAAAAACATTGGCAAAAACTTCAAAATACAAGATAGATAAACTTGACCCTTATTGTGAGTTTGTCATGCCATCCCTCTTCATAACGTAGATTATAGGGTAGGATGTGGGTAGGATGTGGAACAAGGCCGAGTTTAATGTGGGTCATCCGAGCCCGTAGATTATAGCAGGGGTCGGCAACCTTTTGCTAACTCTGTGCCGACTTGGGGGTTTTAAAATCATTCAGTGTGCCAACAGCATACGTATTTTTATAAATCAAATCAATTCTCAATATACCTATTCTACAATATATATATATATATATATATATATATATATATATATATATATATATATATATGACATTTTTTATGTTTAACGTTCTTTTTATAGATACAAGTAAATGCTCTGTTTATAATAAACAGTATTAAATAACATTTACAGGCCTGAGAAATTTTCATAGAAAATATTCGTCCTTTGACAGGATTCGAACCTGCATCCTATACGGAACCGTCATTTACGCTGACGTGCCTAACCTCTCGGCCACAAAGGATCGTTGGCAAGGTCGAATTTATTGCTTATAAACTTCAATCTTCCATGAATCTCGTACATTCATAACTGCTCATGGCGTATCAAATGTAAACAAATGACGCCATGTATTAAGAAATGGACAAAGTCCGACAATTTATTTATTAAAGACATTTATTTATGCAAGGACGAATATTTTCTATGAAAATGTCTCGGACATTAGGCCGGTAAATGTTATTTAATACTGTTTATTATAAACAGAACATTTACTTAAATACTTGTATCTATAAAAAGAACGTTAAACATAAAAAAAATGTCTTTAATAAATAAATTGTCGGACTTTGTCCATTTCTTTATATATATATATATATATATATATATATATATATATAAAAGAATTGAAACCGTTTTTATTAAAAACGACAGAAAAGGTACTACGATTAAGCTGTTTATTTAATTTTTCTAGTGTTCGAACAAGTGCTTTTTTTTTTGTCACAGTGTAGAATTGTCCAAATGTTCTAGAATTCCGAGCGCTTTCGGTTATACGGAATTATAGAACATTTGGACAATTCTACACACTCTGTGTCCAAAAAAGAAAGCACTTGTTTGTACACAAGAAAAATTAAATAAAAAGCTTAATTGTAGTGCCTGTTATGTTGTTTTTAATGAAACATGCATAAATGAAGGGTTGCTGCCTAAATACACTAAACGGTTAAATATCATGGCGTTGTAGTAGTTTGGACTTCGTGATGTCATTTGCGTCTGCGCGCCATTGGAAATTGCTTGGACTTCCACGTGTGGCCGACTCCTGGATTATAGCTCTCCGCATATTCCTTTTTGTCTGTGAATTGCTATGACTTTTTGAGAAAGACAGTGGAGTCATTTCACATTGTGTTTTCCATGATTTTGAATTCAGAATAATACTTTTCTTAGACTGGTTCTATCCACGGCTAGAGTGTCCTCAGTTTAGTTTCCTATTTAACCCTTAATTATGTCTCATTCCATATGTGCCGCAGAAGGTCATGAAATCAAGAGTGTGGGTCTCTCCTTGGAAAGTTTAGGCACATTTTAAACAAATTCCCGCCAATTTTCTTGTACTCTGTCGAGGGGCTCATTTTCTTTTGGATGATCTCGAGGTTGGTTGACATTAATTTCATAAGTGAAGTCAACTCAAATATGTATATCCACTATAAATAACCTTTATAATAATAGGAGATATGTTGCTGTTTTACTTTTTGTCCTGTTCATAAAGGTACAGACGATCAAGGATCGTCTATACGTTTAAGTACAGACGATCATGGATCTCTACTTCTTTATTATCTGTTGTTTTGAATTCTTGGGAAATATAGTCGCTTGTTTCTCATTATATTCATGATTTTGATCACTTTGTTGACTGGCTGCCCTCCAAGGATAAAGTCCAGTTTACTTTGCTCTTTAATCCATAGTTGGGGAGCAGGAATGGATACATACCTTTCCGAAAAAAATATTAATGCGAAAGTGATTACAACAGATGAGGACGAAGCTTGAACTCTGCTCGCCGATTTCACTCTTCGCGCCGATAACTGTAACGCTACCCGCAAGCGATCTTGTTCGATAGGTATTCATATTCTGCTGTGATACACAAGAATTATTCACAATTTTTTAAAATTATGAACACTTACCTTGGAGCAATGGTTAATATTGTCTTGCAGGGCATTTCTGAGTTTCTGGGGTGAGGAGTTATCATTATTTATACGCGGACTACTGCTCTCATCTTTGTTGTTGTTATCACACCTTTTCGATCATTATGCCCCCGGCAGATTAAATAAAGGGTTCAGTTCGAGATTACTTGAAGGTCACCGGGACGACAATCACCTGAAGGCCGGAGGTACCGAAATTTTGTGATAACAAAGACGGGGGTGGGGGAAAATCTGCGCGTAAATAATGCAAAGAAGAGTTTTAAGTTCGGTCTTCAATGGATGCCCTAATATTGATGTCCTGGATCAATTAGATCAATTGCAGTGCCAAAAACACAGCTACCTAATAACGTGTAAGGTGAGACAAATGTGCTGAAACGTTTCTCTGAGTGAGATGCGAATGCGATAGAATACGAGAATGTATGCGAATGCGATAGAATACGAGAATGTATGCGAATGCGATAGAATACGAGAATGTATGCGAATGCGATAGAATACGAGAATGTATGCGAATGCGATAGAATGTATGCGAATTCATCTTTTCGGAGACTAAAAAGCCTGCGATACACCGGCGCTCACATCACAAAGCTCCTATAGTGATGGTCCACATAGTCATGATCACGGATCTCATAATTCATTAGTTAACCACATGTACTGCAGCCCTAGCAGCAGTGGTGTGCCTTAAGCAAATTAAACTGACAGAGCCCAGCCTTTTCTAGGCTAGTTTGAATTCATTTTTCTTTCTCCTAGACTGGTTAGCAGTCAAAACTGTCTTGCTATTTACCCATGAATGTAACACTCTATTGGAATTCGAACCCAGCTCTTAGATTTCTCATTCCGAGCGGCTATCCATTACACAGCCGCGCATGCACAATAGATAAATAGTACCCTGACTAAATTCTTAGTTAGCACTGGTATCAGCGTGAACATTCTAGCAGAGATAGACTACATGCGAAGCAAACCGTTACTTCAAGAAAATTCAGTCATGGTTTATGCATATGGATTTACAAGGACATCCTACATTCGTGGATTCTTCAAAGCCGGTTTAAAGGCAATAAAAGAAAATATACAATATGAATTGGAGGCTATTTGCATTATTCGAACTACTGTCCTCATCTTTGTTGGCATATTTATCACAACGTTTCGGTTGTTGTACGCTCCGGCCTTCTTCAGGTGGTTGGAATGTCGAACTCTACCCTTTATTTTTGCTCACTGGGGTAGACTGTTTTACTGGATGTCAGTTATCAGTTATCTCCTGTTAATTCCCCTCTCCAAGTTCTCCACCTTAACCAGGTATTGAACTCATACTCTTTGGTGTCCTTGAGGACACATGTCACAGTGGATAAAGGCGTTAGTTAGATCCAGTGACAGGACCCATATTCCACATCTTTTCCGTGCGGAAAGCTGTGGAATCGAAGATTAAAGTGACTGGAACAACTGGACGTCATTGAGAGAATCCAGTGGAGGTAGTTTCCAAGAAGATTAGAGTTTCCACAGATATGAGAAAAGCAAACGAAGCGATTTAGAGAGAACCACCCGATGCCGACAGTCAATGACCTGATTGCCGACCCCAAATCGTCTAAGGTTCTTAGGAAACTGGACCTGTCGAGCGCGTATCATCAACTCTAGCTAGAGGAAACATGTCGGTAGATAAACACATTCACAACATACACTGGGTTGTATTGATGTAAGAGGCTACGGTAAACATGAATAAAGGACTAACGTTATACATGTTCATTTTACTAACAGCCTCTTTGGATTCTTATGAATTTATTTCTTTGTTATGTAGGAACAGGAGTAGAGGTTTGGTCAATCTTTCTTATTTATAATCGGGTTTCTGGTTCCGAGGCCTT